CGGGGGCAACACTGAGGGTTGCGATCCGTTGCCAGGACATGGAAAAAGACAAAAAAAAAAAAAAAAAAAAAAAAGAGTACATAAACTGGTGGCCCTTTCAAAGGACAGCGGCGAAAGATGAAATGTTATCGTCATGTCATACATTGCTCTTAGTTCTTAACTGGAGTTGAGCTTCCTTTCATAGTCTTCTTTAGGTGGTGATAATTTGGCAAGATTTTCATCAAGAAATCCAGCTGTAGTGTCTGGGGCTAAAAAGACAACATAATTAAGACTAACTGGTAGAAATCAAAATCAAGAGTACCAGGTAGAAATGGTTACTACTAGGTTGTGGAATTATAGGTGATTTCCATGAACTTATTTTTGTCTACCTGGCCAATCACAAAAACAAAACAAAACAAAACAAACAAAACATATACACACATATATATGTACACATATATGTACACACACACATATACATACACACACATATAATTAGTTTTCACACTTGCTTCTGTAGATTTCATCCTGGCTTCTAAAAAGTTAAAAATTTCCAATTATAGCAGACCATGTAAGTAAAACAAGGAGGGTTTATATTGTTTTTACTGACCTACAGAGCCACATAGTTGACATACACTCATCTGATCTTCACTCTTTAGATACCAGCATTGCCCAGATTTCCTGATTGTGAAACTCACTTGGGGTATTTGTGAAAAATATGAATTTTAGGCCCCTGCCTTAGACACTGTGATTCAATACTGGGGAATCTTTATTTTTAATAAAGATCTCTACATAATCCTTATGATGAGTAAAAGTTGGAAAACAGCATTGCATACCATTAAACACTGAACTTCAGATACTCCTGCTCAATCAATCCTAACCTCCCTTCCCCTCTCCAGCCTCATTCCTCCCTCTTCAATCATACTTGCTGTTATGCAGATAGTAAAGAGAACTGGATTTGTCCTCATTTCCTTTTTAGTCTACAGAAGAAATACTTGCTTATAATAATAATAAAGCCAAAACATTAAAGAGATAGAGTAACCCAGAAATAACTAGAGTTTTAATTTGTGATAACAATGGCTATGAATCAGAGGCAAAGTGATAAATGTCTTCAAAATATTTCCTTTGGGCAAGTGAAAGGAGACTGGGTAACTAAAGAAATATATATTGAATGTGCCAAGCAATGAGGCTCAAAATTTTAGTCTCGATGTCCCATGACCAAAGGAAGCCCCAAAGCCTTGCCTTTTTCATCTCCTACTGCAGCGTTAAACTCCAACTGTGTACTCATTACTCCTCATCTTAGTTATTAGGAGGGCACAATTTCTTGTAAGCTAGGAAAATATCCACACACATGTGCTTATTCATAAGCTGTGTTTATTAGCAAGCTATGTTAATAAACTAAAAGACCCAGGTTAAAGGCAGAGTATGAATTTGGCAGGGTCATTCCTTACCATTGACGATTGATACTTTAGGAGTGAATCAGTTTGGTTTATAAAGTTTGGTGATGCATCGTCAGTGAAAATGCAGAAGACCAGGAGTAACATCTCTCGATTTCTTTTTCTCATAATCAACTTGTAACTGTCATCCTGGTATATATTTTTGATATTAACCTAAAGACTGAATAACTGAACTGCAAATAAATGTTTTACGAATGTTCTTCTGATACTTCATTTTAATCATTTGATTTTCAAATAGTGAACTCGCTGCCCTATTAAGACAATTACATGGTATTTTGGGAAAATTAACAGCACTAGATAGAACTCTTTTAAAAGAGAGGTTGTAGTACCTGTGGTCGCTCAGTCTGCACCCGACGAAGGCAGTCTGTGCCATAGATCACCGTGTTCTCAGGGATGACTTCAAAAGTATTCAGGTTGCAGCAAGCCCCGATGATGCAGCCACTTGTCAATATTACATTTCTGCCTACATATGCTGCAGCAAAAATATATTAAGAACTGAAACTTAAGATATCATTAAATGAGTACAGCACAAACTGGCCTTAAAAAAAATTTACACAAAATACTTCAGTTAGTTGTATAGATAGCATAGAGGCGAGCCATACATACCAGTGTCAGATGGATTCAAAACAGAGGTCTGCTAACTAGTTGTATGACCTGTAAAGTCTCTGAGCTCAAGTTTGTCTATAAAGTGGAGAGGTACATACCAGTGTCAGATGGATTCAAAACAGAGGTCTGCTGCTAACTAGTTGTATGACCTGTAAAGTCTCTGAGCTCAAGTTTGTCTATAAAGTGGAGAGATCACCCTACTTCACAGTTTACTTTAGGCAATATATATGAAATGTAAAGTACTGAGCACAGTTTTGACACATAATAAGCAGATAGAAATAACAGAAAATACCAATGATGATAATAATAATAATAATTGGTAATCCAAATTAAAATAAAAACCATTAAGTAGATTAACAAAAGTATAATTTTATTATTTTAAAAAAAAGCACTTTCTATCATGCCGATCAAGACCAAGAAAGACAAACCCACTATTCTAAAGAAGTGTCATTGTTCAGGTTCTTTCTGGACTGAGTGAGACGAGCTCTTGGAGTTTGCTTCCCAGTAGTGGTGGTGACTTTACATGATCCCCTGCCTGGCCCCATTTATAATGAGTAAATTACATTTGTTTCCTGGAATTAAAGAAAGCAAACTGCTAGAAAAGCTGTGATTTGTTTCTTTAATTTTACAATAACACTAGTAGACTAAAATATCATAGATACTAGTATTTAGTAGCAATCTTTTTCAAACCTTTCATTTGAAATTTATGGTTTAATTCAATCTTGACTTAAATGTACACAGATGACTTTTTAATTTAATGTATTCAATTACTTTACCAGATAACTACATAACCAGATTAGGTTCCTTAGGGGCAAAAAATTAAGTCTGACAGCTATTTTAGTCCACTTCCTTGCCATAGTTTGTACTTAGGTTGTTTCCCAGGATACCACAAGGAGAAAGGAAGGAATCACTTTGACAATAAAACCCTGAACACAGCTTACCTTTGGATTCAATGACATTATTATCTCCTATTTTCATGGCTTGGGAATCTGTAAGCCAGAGTTAAGTAAATACTGTAAGTATATTCATCTTTTTCCCCCACTAGTGCAATATCTCCTTCTATAGCACTGGGGCAGAGATTTGGGAAGGGATATGCAGGCCCCCCTTAGCTCAGGGAAATCTGTAGTAATGTTTTTTATCTTTAAACATAAATATCTCTAGGTATACATAAAAGGTTTTTAAAGAAATAATAATGTTAAATAAGAAATAATGTTTTTTAAAGAAATTAGTGAAGGTAAGGGCCGGCCCGTGGCTCACTTGGGAGAGTGTAGTGCCGATAACACCAAGGCCACAGGTTCAGATCCCTATATAGGGATGGCTGGTTAGGTCACTTGGTAGTTTTTAAAGAAATAATAATGTTAAATAAGAAATAATGTTTTTTAAAGAAATTAGTGAAGGTAAGGGCCGGCCCGTGGCTCACTTGGGAGAGTGTGGTGCTGATAACACCAAGGCCACAGGTTCAGATCCCTATATAGGGATGGCTGGTTAGGTCACTTGGTAGAGCGTGGTGCTGACACCACCAAGTCAAGGGTTTAGATCCCCTCACTGGTCATCTTTTAAGAAAAAAAAAAAAAATTAGTGAAGGTATAAGATGCCCTGATTTCCTGAGTAATATATTTTCACAATTGTTTTATTAAAACTATCCATCACCCAATCACTTAAACACTGTTAACAGTTTGATATATCTTTATATAAATATATGTAAAATTCCTTTTACATAAATGGGAATAAAACTGTAAACTTTTATAGCTTACTCAAGTCACTTAAATTTGCAAGCATTAGTCTGTGTCATTAAAAACTTGAAAAACATAAGTTTTCTTTTGGGGAAGAGGGCAGAGCTGGCTGGTATGGAGATCCAAACCCTCGACTGTGGTGTTATCAGCACTACACTCTAACCAACTGAACTAAGGGGCTAGACCTAAAAACAAAATTTTTAATGACTGCTTAATGGTTCTAGTGGTTTGTTTTATGCTTGTAGATTAATTGATTTAAATATTTTGCTACTGTTGAACAATTAGATTTCTTCCTCCAAATATCTTCTACTCTGTGTTATATGTTTTGCTGACACCATTTTACTACTTTTTTAGAGTACAAAACCAAGCAAAAGAACTAGTGATGCTCTGAAGAAAAAAAAAATACACAAACAATGAAATAGCATTTTCACCCCTGCCCACATTTTCTCAAATCAGACAATATACAGTCTACCTAAAACTATATAGGAACCAAAATAACAAAGTTCTTGTTCTTAAATCAGGATAGAAGCCAGGATTACTGTTTCTGTGTCTACTGCCGCTCAGCCATTGCTATCTGTCAACAAGCTGTAGTACGGTGAAAAGAGAAAGAGATTATTTTCAAAATGCTGAGCTAAAGGGGGGTGTGTATGTGAGCATGTGTCTGAAAACAGCACACTTACTTTACTCTGGTGAGTTATTCACTCAAAGAGAAAGGATTTTTTTATATACCACAAATAAGTCTGTTCAAAGAGCTAGATGGCCTAGTCCTAAAAATGTAATTATAATATATATTATAAATATATTTGAAAGATAAATTATGACAATCTCTACAAGGGGAGATTTGGGTACTAAAGGACAGCTGGGAATGATTTAACTTAGACCACTGTAAAGGATACAACAGCCAACTTCAAACACATTATTGGTGCCAATGATCATAGGTTTGGGATCTGGATCTTCAACATCAGGAGTGATATTATCTGGGTGACTGTAAAAAGAAGAGGCAAAGCATCAAAAAATCAGTAACAGAATAAGCAATTCTCCCTCAATTTTTAGAATTTGGGTTAATTCTCTTAATTTTACATACATCAAGATAAAATTGCATAACTAAGTAATGTATTTCTTAATCCAAGTGAATCATTTATCCTTTATGCTGGAGAAGGCTTGGAGTTGAAAAGAGCTACTGAAATGTAAGAAGTTATAGGCGTGTGTAGAAAGACAACGTTCCTCTCTTTAGTTTTTAAACCCAAAGAGCAGAGGGCCTTCTCCAGGACAAGGTTAAAAAAAGATCCTGGCTACTCTGTTATAGACGGCTAAATTAGAATCAAAATCATGCCTAACTTGAAAATTTTTCATTCTTAATAATCATTCGAGATTGTGAAATATAAACAGATATTCACATAAAATAATTGTGCTATTAGGTAGTTAGCTGAAATATTTGGAAGATAAAATGTTTATGTTCTATGAGGAGGAAGCCATATAAAAATGGTATTTTATCACTGACAGTTGAGTTACTGCAGAATACAGCTATTGTTAACTGACTTACACTGAAGGTGCCAAAAGTATTTTAAAAGAACCTGCTTAATATAGTAAGAAACTCCCAAATCCTAAGCAAGCATTAAGACAAATCAGTCTTTTTATCACAGTTAAATATTTTCCCAAGGTCTTTCTTACAAATTCCATACATTGTTGCTATAAATTAGGTATAGGCTTGAATTTCCTGCCAAAATTTTATCTAGAAAGACTTACAAATATTTATGGCAATTTCATAGGAATTAGATTCTTACTCACTAAGATCATGTTCATGTTCTTTTATCTTTAAAGTTTAAAAATTGCCTCTAGGGCCCCCAATTTTTCATCTATAATTCTGGGTGTTACCCATGCAAAACACATGAAAACATATTTTAGAGTTAAGTTTACATGTTTGGGTGTGTAATAACATTTCAGCCAGAACCAAGAAATTCAACCAAAAAGCACTCTTTGGGGGGGTCGGCATAGCATTTGGAGGTGAGAGGTGCTCAGGAAGTGTTTGCTTACGGGATGGATGGGAAAGTGACCCATAAGGGACGATGACCAGACCCAGCGTTGGAGAGTCTAGTCAGCCACCAGGAGCTCTCTTGCCTTGGACAAGTCCTTCCCCATCTGGTTTACAGTTTCCTTATTTACTCATGTGAACAAGATCCTTAATGTTTCTCCAGCTCTAAAATAGTGGGCCTTCCAGATGTCAGTTGTCAAAGGTTCTTAGAGCTGAAATGAATGGGAAACGTTTACCCACCCATGGCACTCGGCTTAGAGTATCTCAGTCTTACTCACGCATTTATGATAAGGGCCTGTTCTTCTATTAAGTTACCTTCACCGATCACTATTGGCCCAGCTTCTGCAATAATTCGTGCTTTCGGGTGGATCACTGTCCTAGGTCCTGTTAAAAATATTATTTGAGAAGAAATTATTGGTAGAGGCTACACTTCCAACAGGAGGGCGGGAGGTGACTGAGTGAGGGAGAAGCCGTTGGGAAGAGTATTTTCTACGTATGTGCCAGGTGCCACTCTGGGTACTTTACAAAAATTATCTCCTTGGCTGTTATCATCAGTAGTTAATGCCAAACCTCAAGCCAAGGTGTGTGAAACTGCACAGGGGTTAGAGCCAGACGGCTCTGGCTCAGCTGTCACTTGGAAGCTTCCATGATCTCAGCGGTGAATGGGGGTAACGATGACACCAGTCCTGCAGGGTTGTTCTAAGGGTTAGATGAGATAATGTGGAGACACGATATGTGGCACATAGTTGGCAATAAAAATTAATTCCCTTCCTTCCTTTCCCTCAGAAAGGTAAGGCTCTTTCTGCTTGCAATGTGGTGCTTTCTTAGGCTAGTGTACCACAGGATTAGTCTTTTTATTAAGTGATGAAGAGGAAATGCGGGTGGGCAGAAGTCAGAAAATATGGGATCTGACTTCAGTGGCGTTACTTTGTCACTATCCCTATCACAAGCACGCCACTAGAAGGAAGCAGAGCTCCTGCTGTCTGGTCTAGGACATGACTTTAACTGGTTAAAGTTGAAAAGGCTAAAGGGAAGCAGTAGAAGGAGCCAGAGGTGCTCACTGGTGACGCTGGGGTTGTGACCTGAGGAACGGCCTCCCACTCAAGTCGAGGGGGGTGGGAGGGGCCTTCACATCCTCTTCCCCAGCAGGGCATTTTAGTGATAAGGAAGCTACTGATGAGAAAACACCTCCTCCTCCCAGCTTCTCTCCAACACCCTCCACATGCCCCCCCAATACCGAGGCTGTTTTTATTGGTAAACAAGTGGACAGGAACTGACACTGAAAGTAAGTAGGGGGACAGCAGGAGTGACAGAAGGTGGGGAGGGAGGTTCCGGAAGGTGACACTATCCATGGAATTCAGGATTCAACTGTACAAATTGTTAGTTTACTCAGTCATCAGTGTCTGCTTGTGACAGGCAGGATGTACTGTGATGTTACAGGGACAAAAATGAATACATATTATTTTTGCCCTTTGGAGACTGTTACCCTGGAAACTGGGACTGCTTAACATAGTCACTCATGAATGTATTAAAACAATAAGGAGGTGTTCCTGGTGCCCAGAGAACTGGAAGGAACCTTGGTACAGCTGATTCCTTCTGACACCGAAGAGCTGGGGAGTGATAAAGAGGGTGGGGCCCGAAGCACAAAGCACAGTCTAGTAAGAAGTAACATCAGAGTGACCTTGATATTTCTCAGTCACCCCTGGCGCCCCAAATCTTCAGCTGCTAAAGTAAAATTACCTAGACAAATCTCCTATTCACAACAGAAGATTTCAAGATAGAAGATGGGATCTCTGAGGTCCCTGGGAAGTTGACCATGAGTGTGAATGTGTGTGCTTTTGATTAAAAAAACAAAACAAAACCCATATACATATGTATACACACACATACACACAGATGTACATATATACATATACTTATCAAAGGAATACATGATCATTACAAAAAATTCAAACAAAGCAAAAAGTGAAAAATCCTCTCATGCTATCCCTTTCCCTAGAGGTAAGCATTCTTGAAAGTTTAGGGTATATTATTCCAGACATAGCACTACTGTATACTTAAGATCTATAAATATCACTACATATAAACTGTATCTCATTAAAAAGCTTAAAAATAAATTTAACTTTAGGAAAAACACACATTACAAGCACATGCTTCTTTTTTTTATTTTTATTTTTATTTTTTAAATTTTATTTTGTCGATATACATTGTGGTCGATTATTATTGCCCCTTACCAAAACCTCCCTCCCTCCTCCCTCCGCCCCCTCCCACCCAACAATGTCCCCATTTGCTAGTCATGTCAACTTCAAGTAATTGTAGTTGTTATATCTTCTCCCCCCCCCCCCCCCCCC